TTTCTGGGTACAATCCCAGCCCAAACTCCTTGTTCAAGTCCATATACTTAGCACAGCAGCTAGGGTGCTGTAATTTGGCAGCCTGGTATGGCCAAATCGCACTTTGGGCTGGGCAGGTCTCTATTAAGAGATGTCCAGAAGCATCCCCTGGTGGCACCGATGCATGGTCTGGGGTGGTCTAAGGATTTCTGGGTACACTCCCAGCCCATAATCCAGTTTTTTATTCAGTTCCATATACTTAGCACAGTGACTGGGGTGCTGTCTGTTGGTGGCCTGGCACGGCCAAACCGCACTGTGGGCCGGGCAAGTCTCTGGTCACAGATGTCCAGGACAGTTCCCCAGTCGTGCAGAGGTATTCTGATGGGTGGTCCAAGCAGAATTTCTAGCCATAATCCCAGCCTGAAAGCCAGTTCCGTATTCAAGCCATTATACTTAGTATAGTGGGCATGAGGACTGTTAGTTGGCAGCCTGGCACAGCCAAGCCGTGCTTTGTGCCAGGTGGGACTGAGCAAGACTGTGGTGACGGTTCTTTGGGACAGTCCCCCAGTGGCATCGCCATGAAATCTGGGGTGGCCCAAGAAGTATTTTGCCCCATAATCCTATCCTAATCTGACCTTCGTTTAGGGCTCTGTATTTGATGAGATGATATTTTACATATTAATTAGTACATATGCATAGCTAATGAAATTCTGTCTCTTTAGGATGTGTAATTCATTAATAACAAGTATTAATTGGGTCTAGATTAGCTTTGAAAAAGGAACCGGGAATCGGGAATAAGGAACCAACTTCAGCCTCATCCCAACCATCCCCATTGATCCCAGGCATCCTGGCACCCAGCCCTCACCCTCTAACCCACCTGACCCTACTCCCTTCCAGAGCTGGGAGAGAACCCAGGAGTCCGGGCTCTCAGCCCCTAACCCACACCGCAGTTCCATCCCACAGCCAGAAGAAAACCCGAGTCCCAGCCTGCTCCTCTAACCCACACAGCCTCACAGTCCCTTCTCTGATCTGGGAGAGACTGCAGGAGTCTGGGTTCCAGCTGCCCCCAGGAGGGAGGGGGATTATAGAGCAAAGGGTTCTAGATCCAGCCCCAGGGTTCCAGTCCTTTGTGCAGCCGCCTGACCAGTGGCACTGGCCCAGCACCAGGGTCAGAGGGCGGGAGAGCTGGGGCAGCTGCCCCTCCGCCACACGAGGGTGCGGCCCGGCATGGGAAAGCCCCCCTGGGGGCACAGCACCTCCACCACCCCCACAGCCCACAGGTGAGCAGCACCATGGGGGCAACTAAGGCCCCTGCCATAGGCAAGGATGGTGAGGGGAGGGAGAATGACCAGGAATTCAGTCTTGTCCAGGGGTCACCATGACCCCACTGTCCTAGCTCCTGCCCCCACCCAGCCCCCACTCACCACAGGACACAAGCCGATGTGCTGGGTAGCGTTTATTCAGTACTAGGATGGCCACACACACACACACACACACACACACACACACGTAACTTGTCAGGAGGCTCTTCTTGCCCCCCTGCCTTCCCCACAGTGTGGGACAGGAGATCACCTGCCACCAGCCCCAGCACTACCCCCGTTGCCTCCGCCCTGTCCCCCGGCATCCGGTGCTCCAGACATCATGAGGAAGAGCACGATGGGGATGATATACATCCACTGTGGGAGATAAGGGAGGAGTTAGGACCAGGTCCCTGAAACTTGTCCTGCCACTGAGGGCACAGATCCAAGATCCCTCCCTCTCACTTGCAATCAACACTGAAGGCAGAGACCTGAGTCCCCCCCCACCAGATTCCCCCCTCTAGGGCCTGAATCCTACCCTACCCTGGTACTGGACAGCCCTGCTCTCAACAGCAGCAAGGGTACCCTGAGGGGCACCTGCCCCCAACCAGGCAATCAGCAGGCCACCAGTGATCATCACCATACAAGCCAACCCCAGTGGGCTGGGGAAGGGGGCAGCCCCACCACCAGGGTTGGGGGTGAGCAGCGATCCTTCCCACATTCAGCAATGGGAGAGCCCTGGACAAAGGTCTTCCTCCCCGTCCATCACCAGCGAGACAGTGATGGGGAGTGGGCTGGCCTGGCAGGAGGGATGTGCAACAGCCATGCCACCTCCTGCTCCCTGCTGGATGGGGCCAGAAGGGGATGGGGGAGCAGGGTGGTACAGGGGGAAGAAGCCAGCAGGGTGGGGACAGGGGGTTTACTTGGCTGCTCAAGGCTGGCGTCCAGGCTCCCACAGGGCTTTGACCGAGTTGGTGGCCAGGAGAAGCACGGCCCCGCCCAATATTAAATGCCACTGCAGAGGGGGTGGGGGGAGAGCACATGTCAACCAGGCACAAGGTGAGGGATAATCTGTAGGAAGGGACTGTATGGGAGGGGTGCAGCACTGGTTGGAGGTTTTGGGTGAGAGAATCCCTGTGTGGTTCTGTGTGGTAGGGAGGTGGGGTAGTTGGTGGAAGCCTGGTCCAGTAGATGGGGGATCCCTAAAGGTGGGATCCCAGTGCTTGTGCTGGGGGATTCCTAAAAGGGCTAAGTATTTGTGAAAGTGGGGTCCTAGTGCTATGCTGGGTCCCAAGGCTGTGCTGGGGGGTCTCCGATGCCAGACTCAGGATCCCGCACTCACATATTTGGCAAAGAAAGATTTCTGCTCCTGCGGGTTCTTGGCTCTCTGCGCCTGCTCCTGCTCCATGCGCTCGATAAATGCTGCCGTCTCAGGGCTGGGGGAAGAGGAGGGAGGGAAGCCTGTCAGAGAGGGTACAGCCCCCACCCACCCCAGTCATCTCCCTGCTGCACACCCCAGCCCTCAACTCCCTTCCTTCCCGGGTCCCGGCCCTGTCCCTGCACTCACACAGCAGCTGGCACCGGCTGCTGTAGCACCACAGTGGTGTTGAAGACCTCCAGGTCCACATCCTCCACCTCGGCACCATGGCAGGAGCCAGGCATGGTGACAGTGGAGATGCCGATCACGTTCCCAGCCACATCTGTGTGCACCGTGAGCCGGTCCGAGAGGTGAGACTCCACTAATGAGCACTAGGGGTGAGAGGGGATGGGGTCAGCAGGACTGAGACATCTTCCCCTTCTCCCTCTTTGTGCTCTGCCCTACCCCCAGCCTCCAGCCACAGGTAGGCCACCAGCCTCTCAATCCACAAGGGAGCTGGGATTGGAGGATTTAGCAACCAAGAGGAACCAGCCAAGGGCGGGGGAAAGGCAGGAAGGACCCCTGGGGAGAGGGAACCAGCCAGACACCCCAGCCCATCCACTGAAATCACCAAGAAGCCAAATGGGGCTGGCTGGGGGCGACGTCTTAAGGGCACTCACTGCTCGGACGAAGGAGGTGACATACTCAGTAGCAGGCTCATCTGCAGCTCCCAAGGGCCGGCGAGGGATCCTGACACGATACAGCCCATTCAGCACCGCCACTTCCTTGAGGGCAGGGGACACCACCAGGATGAGCCATATATTTCACCCCCCAGCTACACACCCACCCTCCATTCTTTGGGGTGAGATGCCAGCATCCCCCAAACCCCTTCCCTGCCCCAGCCCCTCCTATGGGCTACATAGCCTCACCCTCCTTGCTTCCACACAACAGCTTTCCTTTCTGGCCCCAAAGAGCAGGGTAAAAGCTTCCCCACAAGGAGAAGGCCCTCCATGTATGCCCCCCACCAGCCATGCTGAGAACTCCCCAGCCCTCACCCTGAGCAAGTTGCGCTCCCCCTCACTCAGCTGCTTCTGGGACAGCGAGAGACTAGGATCAGGTGCCAGGGTCCAGAGCAGGGTGCCCCGCTTCCGGAAGTGGATGCTGTCATCTGAGGAGTGGTGTAAGAGCACAACAAGGAGTCACCCTCCCACCGGCCCCCTCCCCTTCCCTGAAAGAGGATGCAGACTCCCCCTCATCTTCCCTTTGCCCCCCAGCCCCTCAGCTCCCACAACCCACTCAGGGAATTAATGCCACGATCCATGCCCCCAGCGACCACCCTTTACTCTCCCTGAACCCTGTCCTCCCCTCCTCCTGCCATGCCCTGCAGTATCCTCATGAGACAAGAGCCCCTCCCTGCCACTGTAAACCCTCTTACCCTCTCCACCACCCCTGCCCCACCATAACACCCAGGGAGGGGATCTCAGCCTGACACCCGTCCCCTCCCTGACTCACCCAGCTCGAACGAGTGCTCCAGCTGCAGGGTGATGCCACAGGCCTCAGAGTCCCGCCCCTCGCCCGGCTGCAGGGCACAGGGGACACTGATCAGCACAACCCCTCTGAGTCCTGGATGGCACCCAGGCCCCACCCTCCCCCATGTAACTCAGGCATCCCCACAAGGGTCGCTGGTGAACAGGCTCATTAATATTAATACAAATTCATTAATATTAACAGCCCTGTGACTGGCCTGCCCGCCTCTGCTGTGCCAGTCATGGCAGAATTTGTAAATCATTATGAATGTTAATTAGATCTAGATAAAGCATTTGTGAATATTAATCATATGAGGTTGGGGCTCAGCTCCACACCTCCCTGCTAATGACCCACTTATGAATATTGATAATTCAAATCCCCCTCAACTACGTAGCTCATCACCATGCAACACATGGTGTTACTCCCACTCACTATTAATGAGATGCTCATACATAGTCATGACGCGCCGCACTTACCACTATTCTCTGGCTGCTTATTAATATTCATGAGTGACAACTAATAAGTCAGTTGAATACTCCTCCTACTACGAATATTCATGAGGTCCCAAGCCCCGCCCCCTCATGAATATTAACAAGCCGCCTTCCCTCGGCGACTGCGGTGACTATTACTGAGGCGAATGCGTGTTCCAGCGCGTCCACCCGCACTCACCCGGAGGCCCCGGCAGGACGCGGCGCTGCCAGCCCCGGGCGGCAGCGCGCGGGGCACCCTGGGATGGTGGCGAGCCGCGGAGTCACGTGGGGCGGAGGGGGACGTGCCAGCTTGGACCTCGACAACCCTCACCCGCGCCGTCATCTTGGACCTGTCTCCAAGGCCGGGGAATGGCACCGGCTGCGCAATGGGGACGGGGATGGGATGGATCCCACCCACCTTGCTCTGCCCTGCCTGATATGTTCCCCCCCACAGGCTCTAGCCCACCCTGGCGGGGAAGCCCCACGCTGCACTGTGCCCCCGCCCTGGGGGGCTGCAGCAGTGCCTGGCGCGCGGGGAGTATGGGCCCCTGCACCACTGCCCCCTCTTCGAGAGCGACTTTCTCCAGGTGAGCCCCCCAGCCCCAGGCAGCCCTGCCCAGCCCTGTCCTGGCCCAGTGCCCTCCTCTCTGCCCTCTGACCCCCACCCCACTGCAGG